CCCGGCAGTTTCCCACTACTGCCAATCCCTTTCTTAATAGTATCACGATATTTGTTCAAGGTCCGCTTAAGAGTGAGAACATACGATACTTTGTTCTTTGTTTCTGTGATAGATCACTGAGTATAATAGACTCCAGATGACTGTTTAAAAATTAAGGCAAAATATAAAACTATAAAAGTAGTAAGTTGAAAAACATTATTTTTTCACCCATCTGTCTTATATGAACAACAGCATGCCAGTGGACAGCCTGTGGGAAAAATTGGATAAACCCTCTCTCCTCCTTAAAGCTCTCCAAAGATTTCTCATCACACTTAGAAAAATAACTAATGTCTTTACCACGACCCACAGAGCCCTAAGACTTAGGTTCTTGGCTTCCTCTCCAGCTTTATTTCCTGCCTTCCTACTCTGAGGGAGCCCAGTTCCTGCCACACCAGCCTCCTCGCACACGAGTCACACACTGTCCCACCTCAGGGCTGTGGCTCTTGCGAAGTTCCCAGCATATATTTTGCACTACCTCAGTTATTATATGTAAACTTAAACTAGTTAAAAGTAAATTTAAGCCACAACCATATCTGAGTTCTGTCATTTCATTCAGATTTCTACGAAGATGTCACCACCTCTGAGAAGTCCGCTTGACCATTCTACGTAAAACCTTTTCCTTCCCTTATTCTTTTTAAAAAATCACTCATCACTACCTGAATTCATGTTATGTTTACTGTTTCCATATCTCTCTCCAGAAATCTCTAGAATGTAAGCTTGAGAGCAGCAAGAATTTTGTCTTTTTGTATGTGTTTGTTTTTGCTATTAAATTCCAAATGCCTGAAACAGTGACTAGTGTACAGCCTTTACACACATATATGCTAAATGAATAAATAAACAAATGAACGAATAAACTTGTCAGTATAAGAACTGATTTTAGTGATTCTTAAACTGAATCATGCTTTCATCAAAAGAACTACAACTATCCAGGAAAACCTTGAAATTCATATGGTGGATACTCCAAGGACGCTTACACACTTTAGAGGAGGATGTTTTTTAACTGGCAGAAGCCCATGCTATTAGGGTTTCCTGAGTCAGATTCTCTTTGTAAAATGGGTCATGTGTTGTGAGTTGCTATGTCAAGGGTGATGCAACCTATTGTAGGTCAGTTCCTAAGGGATCAATTTGGTAAAATATGAAAAGAAAGGGCTTTCTCTAGAGGGAGCAGTATTTGCAGAAACAACCATACAGAAACATTAAAGAACATCATCTCTAATCTTAGATCTGCTCCTTGTATATTCTTCCCTGATAATTCACTTCATTCATTAATTCATCCTATTTAAAATATGTATATTAGTTGCATATTCACCTAGATATTTAATGGGGATGAAATGTTATAAAGCTGTCTTGCAAAATTTTAAACAAAGAATAATTAGATACTTTGAGTTGACCGAGCATCTTTGCACTGAAATTGTGAAAACAAACACCAGCTCATGTGCGCAATGGGTCTATGTGACTTTGGCCCCTAAATAAAGGTTCCAGGATAGACCCTAAGTGCCATCAATCCTTGTTCTTCACAGCAAGGGCCGAAAGCACTGTGCTCCAGTAGAAATAAATACCACGTCTGTTGTTTCAAATTTCCCAGTAGTCATGTTTTAAAAAGTAAAAAGAAACAAGTGAAAGTAAGGTTTAAATGATACATTTTATTTAATCCAATATGTTCAAAAAGTTACTTCAACATAGAAATCATCAGTGGGACATTTTTATATTTTTGGGCTAAATATTCTAAATCCTGAGTATATTTCACACCTCCAGCACATCTCAATGCTGAGGCTCCATTTTAATAATGACGTGAAATGTGATCCTAACAAAATAGTCAAGTTCTGCTGAATGGAGAAATATTTTGCATTCTCTCAGTTATTAAATGTAAATTTAAGCTAGTTAAAGTAAAATAAAATTTAAAATGCAGTTTCTCAGTTGCAAGCACGCATTGCTTTTCAAGGGCTTGAAAACCACCTGGCTGGGAGCTACCATATTGTATAACGCAAGTCTGGCATCAGCCATGAGCTTGTTAGAAATGCAGCACTGTGTCTCAGGCCTCACCCTGGACCTACTGAATCAGAGTGTGCCCTTCAGTAAGGTTCCCAGTTGACTGGTCTGCACGTTAAAATTTGAGAAGCACTGGTTTAGTCTTTATCATCATCGATGCTGTCATAGTTCAAGCTTTATTGCCTTTAGCTGTACTGATATAATTGTCTCTTAATTGGTCTCTTACCTCCAATCTATGAGTATTCTTCTGTTTCACTGCTCAAAGACTATATAGATGGCTCCCTGAATGCTTACTGAGTGAAGTCCAAAGGACTTGCCTTGGTATACGAGGTCCTGTAGAGGGTGGCCAGGAACATGACTTGACCTGGCATTTTATTCGCTGAATACCTCTAGTAACAAGATGCAGACTGAGGTATTCATCCTTTCTTCCAATGAATACTTATCCTGTGCCATGTGATAGGTAACGCACATGGATAAAATCCAGTCCCTGCTCTAAATTAACCGACAATCAGGCTGTACGGGATGAGAAAAAGGAGCACATATTTAAACAACTCATCATAATATGCTTAAAATGGAATTATCCTCAAAGTGTCACAGGAAGGCAGAAATGATTAATTTTTAGGGGAACTGAGGAGTCAGAGAAGGAGGTAGGGAAGGTGTCAGAATAGAGGGAAGATTTAAAACTTAAAGAATTTTGTCTTACAGCAGAAGTCAGGGAAGGGCATCCCAGACTAAGAAAACATTATCGATGCATGGAATGGTCTGGTGTATCTAGGGGCAAATCTAATTCTCTCAGGGACCAAAAAGAAGACAAAAGACATGGTGTTGAAACATTGGTAGACCACTTTTAATTCATTATTCATTTAGTTGTGCCCAATGTGGTTCTAAGGAAAGACAACCTGAGGCATTAGTAGATGAAATTAAAAACATAAAAGTCTGTTTAAGCTTACCCCTCTTTGTGTATGCTTTGCAATTATCAGATCACACTATGTACCAAGCCTCTAAATTCCCTCTATGTATTAGGTTTTAATGTGAGATGGATCAGATGTAATGTATTTCAAACTGTAAAGAGTATTTCAAACAGATTAAAGCCTGATCATAAAAAAGGAACATCCATGAGCCCATCAACTACCTTACCCTTAGATATTCCATCTGTTTGCAGATCAAATTCCCCTTCTTCCTCACCTCCAAATAAGCAGAATCTTGAATTCTGCATTGATCACGCATGACTTTCCTTTATATAGTCTTACCCTTTTTGCAAGCTGATTTATGCTTGGTTTTCGACATTAATAAATGAAACAGATGCGCTCCTCTGGATGTGCTTCTTTAGCTCAGTTTATGATTTTGAGATTTATCTGTATCGACGAGTCAAGCTGCGTAGTTTATTCATTTTCACTGCCGTAAAATGTTCACTGTACTGAATGTACCACAACACACTAACCTCGTCTATTGTTGATGAACATGATAAATCCTACCAAGAATATTCTGGTTCCTGTCTCCCAGGAAACATGTGCAGGAGTTTCCCGTAGGATATATCTGTGGTAAGGATGTTATTTAACACACTTCACAACCTGTGTGGCCTGGGAACTGATGGTAAGAACAGAAGTGGGTCATAAACTATTGGCTGTAGGCCAATTTTAACCTTACTGGTAGAGGAATGTCTAAGACAGAGGAAAGGCGCATGTTGATATTCCAGAACAGAAGTGATTGAACGTATGCGATTCCAAGAAGAATTGGTATGAATTCCTGAAGCTCCATATCCGTACCCAATGTCTGATTTCTTAATTTAAAAAAATCAGAATGGTATGCGATGGTAGCTGACGTTTTTAACTTACATCTTCTTGATTGCTAGTGTTGTTTTGCTGTGTTTATTCAACATATACGCTGCACTTTGCTTTACAGTCTGCTTTGTTGATACTAACACATTTAGAGAGTTTGGCACAAAGTGTGATCTGATTGCTGCAAAGTATGCACAGAGGGGGTAATCTGAAACGGACTTTACGTTTTTAGCCTCATCTCCTACTAACTGCCCCAAGTTTTCTTTCCTTAGAACCACATTGGGCACAACGAAATGAAGAATGATTTTGAAGTGGCCTGCCGACGCTTAACTGCCATTTCCCATCCCCTCTCAGCTTCGCAAAACCTACTGCGGGGAGCCTGGCAGGGCGGTCCAAAGAGTGGGACCCGGGCCACGAGAGAGGAAAGAGGGTGGCTGTGGAAGGGCAGTGCTTGATCTCAGACGGCCACACGTTCCAGGAGCCCACCGAGACGGAAGACCGGGAGAGGAGAGAGCGCGGCACCGCTCGCGCCCTCGCACCTCGGGAGCGAGGAGGAGCCGGGCGGCCCCGGCGGGCGG